CTGAACACCACTACTGCGTCGAGACCCACAACATCTGGTACCTACCGACGAGATCAGGACCTTGCCGTAAGATCCCGAGGCGGAATCACCGAAAAGCTACGCTTACTCGTTCTGCGCAAACCCGTGAAACCCATTTGCCTTTGAATTGAATTGAATTTGTGGCAACGATTGTCAAATAAGCATGCGCTGTAAATTGGTGAATACTAACAAATTACTGTCAAAAGTAATGCGCCTAACTCCAATAAACTGGTGGTACTAGTTAAACTAAAACTATATATTTATAAGCGAATTACCAAGGAACACGCAGTGATGCTCCCGTCGTTCATTTTTAATTGGCACTTAAATTGACTGTGCTGATAATGAATTAATTGTCAGAAGTAACAACATAAATGCATCATCTTGATGAAATGAGTAGCGGAAATTAATAGTGAAACAACTTTAGTTTAGTGAAAATCTTTGAGTTCTGTGCAGTTGTTTGCATGCACCAACTTTTACCGACGACACTCCACGCGCTCTGCGGAGCAGTTCAAAATGACAGGTTTGTAGAAATTCTGTATGCCGTTAACATTTTAGCAGTTAAGTTTTTAGATATTGTGAAGCCGTTTTGCGCCATTTTGCCTGAAATATCGCGACCGGAACGAAAAATCCAGTTCCGCGAAAGAGTGCTATGGACTGGGATCACACTGATGATATTTCTCTTCTGCTGTCAAATTCCGCTCTTCGGCATAATGTCATCAGAATCCGCCGATCCTCTTTACTGGTTGCGTGTTATATCGGCTTCTAACAAGGGAACATTGATGGAACTGGGAATTTCTCCTATTATCACTTCCGGCCTGATCATGCAACTGCTCGCCGGTATCCAAGTTCTTTCTGTCGGTGATGCCCCCAAGGATAGAGCCCTATTTAACGGTGCACAGAAGCGTAAGTCTGTTTCTTATCCTCTTGACTTCAAAGATAGTTTTCGGAATGGTGATAACGATTGGGCAAGCTTCCGTTTACGTCATGTCCGGTATATACGGTGCTCCAAGCGAGCTGGGTGCTGGCATTTGCCTGTTAATCATATTCCAGGTAATGAGATTATCCACCATTCACTCTCCCTAGCTGACATTTGCTGGTTTGCTGGTCTTGATGTTGGATGAGCTACTGCAAAAGGGATACGGCCTGGGGTCGGGCATTTCTTTATTCATCGCTACCAACATTTGCGAAACAATCGTCTGGAAAGCTATAAGTCCAACGACCATAAACACTGGACGAGGTAAAAATTGCGCAAGTTGAACCTATTAATTAGGTACGGAGTTCGAAGGTGCCATTATTTCCTTGTTTCACCTCCTTGCGACGCGCAGCGACAAAGTTCGCGCATTGCGTGAAGCGTTTTATCGACAAAACCTTCCCAACTTAATGAACATACTAGCGACTGTGCTAGTTTTCGCAGTGGTCATTTACTTCCAAGTACCTCCTTTACCTTGAATTATAGTGGCTTTCAGAGTTTCCGTGTCGATATCGCCGTCAAATCCATCCGATACCGTGGTCAATCCACATCTTATCCGATCAAGCTGTTCTACACTAGTAATGCTCCTATAATGCTTCAGAGTGCTTTGGTTTCGAATCTTTACGTGATGTCACAGGTTTGTCTCTTGCGATAGCTGTACATGCTGCAGATGCTTGCTAGTAAATTCCGTGGGAACTTTATTATTAACCTCCTTGGTATGTGGTCCGATGGCGAAGGTGGTTCTCGCTCTGTGCCTGTCGGGGGTTTGTGCTATTACATGACGCCGCCAGATTCACTTGGAGATATGCTTGTGGACCCACTGCACGGCATTCTCTACATCGCTTTCATGCTCGGAAGTTGCGCTTTCTTCAGCAAAATTTGGATAGATGTGTCGAATTCAAGTGCCAAAGACGTCGTGAAGCAGTTAAAGGAACAGCAGACCTTTGTTCCCGGCCATCGTGAAAACTCAATGGTTCACGAATTAAATCGGTACATCCCCACTGCAGCTGCTTTGGGTGGTTTGTGTATTGGTGCACTATCTGTACTCGCCGATTTCCTGGGTAAGTCTGTGAAGTAATTTTCTCTGCGTATTTTTTTTAGCGCCTTACAGTAAAGATGATCCGAGAACATAACTTTTTACTAAATCCAATTACGGCGACTCACAACAAACTGTATTTTAATGCAATGCTCATCTCGGTGACTCATTGAGCCTCGAGGGTAGCATTTTTCGGTCACTCATACCAGAAAAGTCAACAGTCAGTGACCGGACTAACTCAGTCTCACAGTCCTCCTAAGGCTAGGATAATCTCGATGGCCCCCCATCATTAAAACACCCACTGGAGAGAGGTACCCGGCTGCAGGTTCACAGTTATATTACCGTAGCGCACGAATGCGACGCATTGTCCCTAACTACTAGAGAGCACTGCTCGGTGGGCGTTGGCTTCTTACCGTCCACCTTAAGCGAGGCAGCCCGTAGCTGAATAGGTCTCAACCCACCAACTCCCACCGCAGTGTAATATGAGTTTTTCTGCTTTTTCAGAGGCAGTGCTTGACGTCTAAATCAAATCACAATAGGTCTCTTCAGTAACATTCATGGAACTTAACCTAATGCTATGGTCCATGTGCCTCAGTGATCAATTGAGCTACACTGGTTGGTGCTTTTTGCACCTTCAGTGCCACTCACTCCAGGTTGTTCACTAGCTAAAGGCCACATAAACTCAGTCTTCTGGCCCTGCAGGTTGGGTTTGGAGTGAAGGTGGCCCCCTACTTCATGAAGCAGACTAAACTAGTGCCCAAACCTCGCTGCCTTGCGCTCAGGTTTTGAACCAAGGGCTTTATTTAAAAGCCCTAATCCTTCCCGTGCTTATTTCTAAGCAATCTGACACTATTCTGCCCACGCAATACAGTGAAGTTTTTCCCATTTTTTCAGTCCTGTGACCATTGCATTGAACCATTGAATTGTAGATAGCAGAAGGGGGAACCCTTGTCAGCTTCATCGCATCCCGGTCAGATAGTGAATGCGTGACGTTGATAAACGGCATTCACAATGGGCCGTCACAACTGCAACGAAAGCGAGATGATTCCGGCATTCGCAGCAAATGGATGTCCAACAGCCTCTTAAAACTTCCCTCACTGGACTCGTTGACTACAGGCTCCGGCGGAGTTCCAGTCGTTCACCACCCGAGTGGATAGAGTGACCACTGGGCGGACACATAGACTCTTCGGCTTAAGCAGCTTTCAAATGTGTCCCCGCTTCGAGCTTTCAGTGGACACATTGTTGCAACTCGGTGCACAGTTCTCCAACAATACGCCTGGTGTAATCAAGTCTCTCCGGCGACGACGATAATCCGAAGAGAACAGACTCATCTGTTGGCGAGCAGGGTACGATATACTACGTAACGCCGAGACCGATTTGGAATCACACCTCTGTACTATTTCAAGCGTGTTGAATTCAAACTTTGTGAGGGGATAAACAGCCGGTAAGCCATACTCAAGAATACGCCTCACATGCAATGATCTCCGGCGACAATCGAAAGATCTTATAGCGCTGAACATCCTGTTAGCTACACCGACTCACCTCAAAGTATCCTGGGTTGTCTTAAGATCGGGAGACACAGTAGTGCCTAAGTCCTTCGCTAGAGTACCATTCGTAAGCAGGCAACCGCCAACATGGTATGTGCCGAAGGGTTCAGGGGCACCGATTGGGGGGACGTAACGCTTGTCACGGTTAATGGGCAAACCCCAAGTAATGAACCAATCATTAAGGGTGCCAACTGTTGACTGTAATCTGTCGACACCATGGAGGCCAGAAACCTTAAACCATAGTTTCAGATCCTCAGCATAGATTAGACATTGCATCTGAAGCACAGAGGGAAGGTCGTTGATGAAGATTTTGAACAATTCAGGACAAAGAACCGGACTCTGCGGCACGTCACTGGTCATCAGGAAAAGGCTTGAATAGAGCTTCATTCACTTCTCATTCATTCTCCTTGGAAGACGTGCAAGAAATTCGCGATCCAAAAGCAAATATCCCCCATGACACCAATAGCCCAAAACCTGAGGAGTCGTTCATGTGGTACCTTATCAAGCGCCTTACTGAATTCGACGAAAATAACGTCCAAGTCTACCAACGCCTAAGGCTTTTTCTCATCTTTCTCTAACGAAAACGCAACCAAAGTCACCAATGCTTATCCGGACAACCGCTTCAAGTCCACAGCGATCAAGCATCTATTTAACACTGGCGACAGAAAACCTTTGCGAATTACATAAACGTAGCTAAACAAGCCCACTTGCACACTTACATACATTTATATATCAACATATGCGACAATTCCATTGTACATTAACTGATCACTTTTTGTACTCTTAAAATGTTCATGCCTATGAAGGCGTGCCTCAGTCGAGAATCAGATTCATGGCATTCAAGTGATGCTGTAGAAAACGTTTCAGAAGCCTCCATGACCACAAATAATCGACGTCAGGCAAGTCGGGCAGTAGTTAGACGGGTCTTGACGATTTTCACCTTTGTAAACTGGCTTGATGATACCAACTTTCCAGTCAGATGGAGGGCGGCCAGTTGTCAAGGAGAGCCGAGAAATAAGACTTGTTGGACTTCCAATATGCTCAGCGACGGATGCAAACCATCTAGACTAGGAGACGAGTTGGTATCCAATTCAAGGAAGAGCCACAATACCATGTCTGTGTTTATCTCAACAGAGCCAAGAAGATAGGGGTGTGAATTGACAGTAGAACAGAACAGCAAGGCCTCTATCGTATAGACCAGGGGTGTCCAAACATTTTGCAGATGGCCACATTTTGTGAGGTAAAAATATGTCGGGCCATATCCAGTCTAACGTTGAGATAATAACAAAAATTACACGTACGAAAAAAGTCCATACCTGAATTTGTTATTTCATGATGCAGTCGCGAGTCGGACTTTGGACACTCCTGGAATAGACGATTTAGCACTATTTGGCAAGATCAGTTTTCGCATCGTCATCGTGAAGTGCATCTGCCTCCCGGAAGGAAAACAAGGCGGGGACCATTTCTAGCTTTGATAGTCCGTTTCAGATACGGAAGGAGTTTCTTGGGACATGTTGAAGATAGTGCAGCCAAATCGCACTCATACTACTGGCGCTTCTCACGTTTTTTGCGGCACAAAGGTTTCTGGCGGCTTTCTAATCAGAATAGGTAGTAGTCCATTGTTCAATTTTGAATTTGTCCTCTAACCTCAGTCTGTTTTTCAACAAAGATCGTTGTTCAACATCGATCTAGGGGGGGACCCCTAGAAATCGGTCTTATTCGGGAGACTAGGACAAGCTGATCAATGAGCATGGTTGCCTTGGTGCGGAAGTGAATCCACGCATCCTCCAGCTCTAAGTGTTCAGAGATGCTCCAATCGACTGCACTCGCAGCAGCTTTTATGCGTCCTGGATCGGGAGTGAACTTCTTGGCCATGAACAGCGAGATGTGCCCACGAGAAAGAGACCACACAGTGGTCACTTGCCCGGCGGCTGGAGTACAGATCATCTAATGGCATGGGACGGTGCTGATGTAAACACTAGGTCAAGGCTATGAGTAGCCTTGCCTTGGAGAATCCGCTTAGAAGCTGTAACATGCAGAGTCAGGTTTATTTCTAGGATGGATTCGAGGAAAGCGTAGTCAAAAGATTCAACAGAAAGCCCACAGTGAAGGTTCCCGATCGATACTGGGAGCATTGAAGTCACCTATAATCGGACGGTCTCTTCTGATTCCATACTTGCTGATAGCTTCCAACAAGCTATAACCAGATCCCGATGGAGTCCTGTATGTAGTACCGACTATAAGCTATCTACAACCATCATGGACGCGGCACCAAAGGAGCTCCCACTCTTCGTCACTGTCACAGAAAAGCTTCAACAATATGAACTCGAAGATCCACCTTCCAGTAAAGAATAACACCGCCAACACGCCCTCCAGAACGATCAGCTCGGGAAGTATGGTAGCCTGGAATGGAGATCTCAGAGTCCAGAATGTCCGAGGTCAGCCAAGTCTCAGTGAACGCCATCAGATCATGGCAGTGTTCTGGTGAAAAAAGATGAATCTCGTCTAGTTTATTTCTCAGACTACGCACATACAACACGTAATCCTTACTTTAACCTCAATGTCTGAGGATTACAAATATTGGCTTCCACCGGGCTCTCGGAGCTCTCTGGACTACTCGAAAATCCACAAAATGGAGATTTGATTCTCCATTCGCTCGATGAGCCCGCATTTTTCATTTTCACGCGATCCTCTGGTGAGATGTCACTGAGGACAAAAATCGCCTCCCCTGTTAGCCTAAAAATTCGTCTGAGAACGCGGCGAACTTCGTCCTCATTTTGACAGAGGATTTGGATGGTTCATCCTGCTCTCTGCCGAGGCGAAAAGTGGAGATCTTATTGATTCCCTGCTCGCCATCGTCGAACATAAGAGAACTCATGCGCTTAAGGAAAGTCTGGTCATCCAGAATTCTTTCAGATTGAGATTCCTTGTTGGACTCAGGAACATTCATAACAATCAGGCATGTCACGAGGATGTCTGCATCCGTCAGATGGGTGCGGCCCTTGAGGGCGCGGGTTATCACTGATCACTTGCTCAAGCTGATAAACCCTATCAAGAATGAGCTTCAGCTTAGAATTCACCAAATTAAGCTTAGACTTCGTCATTGTCGCTGATGTCTCAGCATGTACGACATTAGTGGTAGTGGATTATTGGGGAGCGGATCCACTTACTGCGAAAGCACAGGACCTCACTCTGACTGTTGCACTGTGTATCAGACCTAATCACTTCTGGCGAGGGAATAGTGGAAAGTCTGCTCTGGGCTGAACCCTGTTCACGGGAGGGCGAAGAGATAGATATTGATCGGCACTTCGCATTTACAACTGCGGATATGTTCGCTTTTGTCAGGCGGCTCCGTCTATCAGTCTTTTGACATGTTGCAGATGAACCGGAGTGGAGTGGTCTCCTCTGTCTCGATGTATTAGCGTCCGAGGGAGAGCGAGGATAGTGACGTTCATCATTCTTGGTGGACATTGCCAAA